TAAATAGCAGGGCCAGGACCTGGAAAAATACTTAGCGGCAGGCAAGGGGGCCTATTCTGGGCCCTGGCCTTTGGAGAACCTAGCTCTGTCCTCCTCGCCTTCCCACCCAGAGCACTGCCTCCCACACACTCCGTGCTCCAGGGACCCAGACTCAGGATTCTCCTGTCCCAAGAGGTCCAAGCCCTCTTCTGGGTCTGCATGGCCCCCTTGCTTGCTTTCTTCTTCCATAAAGTGTTCTGTGCTGTAGATTTGCACACCCCAACTCTGAGGGGAGCCAGAGGCTTGTTGTCTACAGGGGTTTTAGACAGAGCTTGCACATGTATGGATACATGCGGAAAAGTCTACATGTGCATCCAAAACGCCTCTCACATTGCTGGGTGGAGCTTAGGTGGGGAAGACTGGGGACAAGGCCAGCAGGGCTCCCTCTGGATAACCAGATTCCAGCCCAGAGGTCCAAGAACTGAGAATCCCAAACTTGAACTTTATAATAGAACCATTACAACAAAGCTCTTTTTGCCAAAATGGGAAGATACAATGTGTTTCAGTTAATAGTTGTGGCATGATTTGTTATCTTTAACTATGTCGACATGAGGACCATAGACCTCCCTCTGTGCTGTTGCCCTAGTCCTTCCAGTACTGGGCAGGGCCCCCATGAGCAACTGTCTCCTGACTGATATCTAATCCCCTTTTGCACTCTATTCGCTATGTTCTTAAAGGTTTGGGGAAAGGGGTCAAACTTGGCTCCTATAGTCATTCACCAAATATTTCCTTAGTCACAGACAGTGATGGTCAGTAGATGAGCTGTAGGCATCAAGGCAATAGCTCTGTAGATTTCCACTTCTTGTGTATTTCAAAATGTGGCCAGAATTCAGTCCAAGAAATCTTGTCCCCAACAGACTAATCTCAGGGGACCCTCCTTTCCTTCCTTAGACTACCTCTCCCTTCCCCAGTTCCCCATCACTCCTGGGCTACCACATTCCTTACTGAACATTTCCCACCCTCTCCCTTTTCTTGAGGGTCTCCTTACTTGCACAGGTGACCAGTTTTATGACCTTCGGGACCACTGATTTCCCTTCCTGAGGACTTGGCACTTGCATAGAGGATTCCAGAATCCCTCTGTGGCCAGTAAGGATTTAATAGCACGATGGCTGACACTGTGAATTGCACTCATAAGGCAATGCTTTTTTGTTTTTTTTTTTTTTTAAAAAAAAAAAACAAAACTAAACTAAATCCATTCACAAATGGACTCGAATCTCTGTCAGAGTAGGCACTTCTTTTCCTTGTGAGCTTGTGTGAGTGTCGGTGTGCAAAAATCTAGGTGTACCCTCGCAAAGGTAAGCACTTTGTCAACATACAATTTTGGGGTTGGGGTGGTGCATCGCCTGGTGCTGAGCCCCTTACGTGATGCACTCTGCCTGTGTTTTTACAGCTCTGCCAGTTAGCCCAGCACCAGTACAAACACAGCAGTCCAAAGCCAAGACAGGATTTGAGGCTTATGGCCCTTGAGGCTCCCAGGTGTGTGTGAGGCTGGTAGCTGCTGACACCGCCACATGTGAAGTGTATTGGGGACACAAAAATGTAGTGGGTCTGAGACTAGCAAGGCAGTGGCTTTTAGGAGGGTTAAATCCAGCCTTGGCTTCACAGGGCCATTGCAAGCTGCTTCTCAGCAGACCTCAGTCAACCTGACACCCATTTCTAACTCTTCAGCTCTGCGTAGTTTCTTTCTGCAAGGGGATTTGAGCCAGCCGGCTGGCTGATGCCCTCTTTTAGAAGGATTATAAAGCAGCAATGGCCACTGGTAAGTTCTCTGATTTTCATTCATACTTGGCCATTCCATCATTCTTGAATCTTCTTGATCTATGTTCACTTGAATGAAGCTCTGACTAGCCCACATCAAAGCCACTCCTGGAGGAGACCTGAGGGCTCTGGCTGAGCCCTTGTTGTCTCCTGTGCCCTCCTTTTGCTGTGATTCTCAGCCAGAACGAGAAAAGCTGACGCTCAGATTGGGTAGTTCACAGGTTGTTGGTAGTACTGCCTGGAGATTTCAAGTTGTGAACTTGGGCCAAAGCCAGACACCTAGTTAACTGGCAGATGGTATTCTCCCCTCCTTGGCTTTATAGAAGAGAACATTGAGTTGCCAGTGGCGCACCCCAGTGCGGGCCTCTGAGCTGTGACCTTTTCCTTTCACTTGCTCCCTGGGACCACTGACTTCAGTCTTCAGACCTATGGAACTGTTTACTACCTTACTTCCTACTCCTGCTTCTGGCTCCGCTCATTCAAGAGGAGAAGCAGATGGGGTTTAGACAGATCCAGGTTTGTAGCCAAGCTGCATACTTAACAGTTTGGACAGGCAACTTGATTTTTCTAAATATCAGTTGCCTTGCCTGTAAAATAGGATCTGTGGGAGAAGGGGCTGGCTGTTTTCAGCCTAGACTTACCTGGCAGTGCCAGAATCCACTACGTTCATTCAGTGCTGCCAGGGCACACCGAGAGTTGGCTCTGGAACTACGACACTTCTAGTTCTACCAGGGATTCTCCCAGGGATTAGTTCCTGCCCATTGCCTAGGAATGCCTGAAGTTTCTGCCATGCCCTGGGAGGGCATCTGCCCTGGTCAGAGCCTCAAAATCCTATTCCCTGTGCTTTAGCTTTTGCCTGTAACAGGGTAAGTCCAACTGGTCAGAAGACCTCAATGTGAATCCTGCTTCTGTCATGTACCAGTAACACCAACAAGCAAAGTCAACTCTCTTCTCTGCCTCCCTACTTCCTAGGGATCAAAGTGACCCTGGCTGCATACTATGTCTGTGGGCTGTTGTGAGATTCTAAAATGAATTCAGTGAGATCCCAACCACATGGGACTTGACTTTACAGTGATATCTACTGATATACATATGAGAGTAATTAGAAACCAGCTCATATGTAGCTTTAGGCTCCCTCTGGACTTAATCTTATAACCTATAAAGGGAAGGGTTTGGGTTAGATTGACACTTCCAGGGTGATTCCCAAAAGCTTCTGTGTATGTGAATTTGACAAAAGCTACACTTAGAATTTTTCTTGTTGTGATCTACAGGAAGAGTCTACCCAAAATAAACCTATTTGGCTTTGCTTAACCTAGACTTTACTAATTTGACTATGGAACCTTATTATTATGACTGCAATTACTACTGGTATTATTATTCTGCTGTGATTTGTTTTAATTGCGATACATAACTCCATTTATCTGTCATAAAACATGCCCTGGGAGATGGTCAAGTAACAGGTGAGTGGGGATCCGAAGCACTTCGAGGAACTCGCGCCTCATGGATCACACTCTGCCTCTGTGTCCCTCAGGTGCCTTCCTGATCCCATACACCCTGTTTCTCATCATTGCTGGGATGCCTCTGTTCTACATGGAGTTGGCTCTGGGGCAGTACAACCGCGAGGGGGCAGCCACAGTGTGGAAGATCTGCCCTTTCTTCAAAGGTAAACAACCAGCCTGGGAGAAGTCAAAGGTTTTCCCCAAGTCTTTCCTCACTGACCCATGGAAATCTGCTCCAAAGGTGAGGTATAAGATGGACCAACTCTCTTGTGAAATTCACAAGTACTGATAAGGTCAAGAGCATCCACTACTCAAAGTCACACAGAGAATATTTGTAGTTAACAGAATACTATTAGTGTAGAAAGTCTGAAAGCCTGGGTTCCAGTCCAGCCTCTGCCAGCTGTGTGACCACAAAGTGTCTATTTCTATGCATGGGAAATACTTAGAGAAGTGGCAGAGGTACCCAGCACACATCCCTCTACTCTCTTCTTTCTACCACAGCAGACATGATAAATTGTTGCTAGATCTTTTCTGACTCAGTCAAAGAGCTGCCTCACATGAAATTCCTAATACCACATCCAAAGCTGGTTTATTACAACTCGGATCTCAGATGAGCCTACTTGCATTTGGGTCTTAGAGTATATCTGGAGAAAGTAGCCATGATAACAGTCATTCCTTGTTCTCTAGACAGCTAGTGGCACTAAGCAAGACTTAGAGTCTCCCCAGCAGTGTTTAGGGAGCCAGTGGCAATGAGGACAAATGTGACTTCTTTGAGCCTTTTCTGAGCTGCAAGTGTCTTGAAGCATATTCTCTATACTTAGTTCTATAGTAAATATGGGCTGATGCGCAAGTCTTACGCGACATAGGTATTAGTATCCTTTTGGTTTAATTGCCACAAATTCAGCTCAAGCTGGCATTAATATAAAAGGGGAGGTTTTGGCTCATGTTACAGTAAAATCCAGGGGTCAAGTCAGGTATAGCTTACTCCAGGTGCTCAAATTGCATTGTCTGGAATTTCCCTCTAAATCACAAGACCATTTTCTTTTACATTAGTATCATTCCTAGGTATGTTCTTCTCAATTGCTAGCAAAGATGGCCATAAACAATTTCAGGCTTAAATCCTACCAAGTTTAACAAAACTACCTTATATATTCATGGCTTCTTTAAAGGTCCCAGAGAAGACTCTCATTGGTTTGACTCTACTCATATGCTTATCTATGAACCAATCACTGTGGATACAGGGAAGTGGTTCTCTGATTGGTCAGGCCTGCATCATGTATTCATGATTGACAAAGGATTCAGGTGATTACTCTCATCCAAAGCCTACAGGCTACAACTTGCTTAAGGATAATCCCTTTAAGCAATGCTGGGTAGGCAAGAAAAAAAAACTGTCTTCTCTATGATAAAGCCACAGAACTAGTCATAATGGAGCATCTCATACATCCAGAAAGGTAATGTATTGGCCTTGAAGCAGGTGATTGAGAAAAGAACCCACAGAACAAACTGGGCTGAGTTCTGATCGGTGAGTGCTTGGTTAAGATTCCCTGGGAAGCAGATCCTGAGGAAAGGACTTAAGTGTAATAAGTTATTTGGAAAAATTGTTGCAGGAATAAAGAAGGGAGGCAGCCCATAAAGTGCATGTCATCAGATCGGTTTCTCCCTGGATGAGGAGATGGAGTATGAAATATTCCAGCATATTTTCCTGGACAAGGGGTGAGGGAGTTCAGATACTCCAACTCCTGACACAGCTGCTCTGCTTCCTGGTGCATAACTCCCAATAAGTGGGAAGAGAGGGCTACAGTAGCAAGACAGGATCAGGAGAAGAAATGATGGGTGCCTGTGGAATATGGTGGGGCTCTGACATTCTGCTATAGAAAAGGAGAGGATTAGGTGACAGGGAGCACAGTGGTTAGAACCAAGTCCCCTGGGGCAGTGACTCAAGGGCTGGGCCTGGGGAAGCCAGACCTCTGTGTCCCCATACAGGAGTTGGCTATGCTGTGATCCTCATGGCCCTCTACGTTGGCTTCTACTACAATGCCATCATCGCCTGGTCATTCTACTACCTCTTTGCCTCCTTCACTTTGAACCTGCCTTGGACAGACTGTGGCCACGCCTGGAATAGCCCCAACTGTACTGACCCCAAGCTCTTCAACAGCTCCGTACTGGGCAACCACACCAAGTACTCCAAGTACAAGTTCACACCGGCAGCAGAGTTTTATGAGTAAGTCATGGACTTCTCATGTTGCATGCACTGAGGCCTGGGCAGGATCTGAACCAAACCAAAGCAAACCAGGAGAGGAAGAAGTAGCACACTAGTCAGCATTCATGTTGTTATAGGCTGAGTTAGAGGACAGGAATCCAAAAGCTGAAGGAGCTTCTGGGGTGCAGCAGGAGAGTAGAGATGGAGAGCTGATATGCCTGAAAATAGATGAGGAAGCAAGAGAGTGTTAAAGATAGATGTGGCCTTTAGGAAGTCACAAGCACTTTGGATAGGGAAGCTTCCTTAAGGAACTAAAATCAGGGATGCAGGAGAAGTTGACTGTGGGAAAATAAGGGACTTTAGCTGCGGTGGACAGGGAGGCCTATCAGAGGTGGTGACATAGGAACTGACCCTGTCAGGAGACACCTAGAGAGTTAGGGTGTTGCAAGTGAAACCCAAGTCAACCTGACTGTAGAGCTGTCCTCTGACTTACCTTGTGCTGCTGTCCCTTGAGGGCTTCCTTGGGGAAAGTAGTTGGAGCTTCAACGCAAAATTAAAGCAGACCAGTACATGCAGCTTAGTGAGAGTGCTTGAGATGGGTGTATGAGAAGGGCTCTAGCTGCTGGTGGAAGATAGAAGATTGTTAAAAACTAAAGAAAGGAAGGAAAAGTTAGGATGATTTTAGACATAAAAAATTGTAACAATAGCACACTTAGCTGTCTCCGCTTTCCCTAAGGGTGGGACCTGATATAACTAGGGAACAGGTATGGCAACCAGAAAATTGTCATTCACATAGTACATATCAGGTAGTCTACTACAGACCTCATGTGAATTTCCCCAGTCTCCTTGTGGATGCCATCTTCTGGTGTTCAGTTATCTCTTTAGCCTCCTCCAATCTGTGAGAGTCCTTTATTCTTTCCTTGAGTTTCATGATCTTGACACTTTTGAAGAATATTGGCCAGTTATGCTGGGAAATATCCCTCAGTTCAAGTTTGTTTGTTGCTCTTTCATGATTAGATTGAGGGTGTGCATTTTGGGGGAGAAAGGCATGCAGATGATTCTCTGTCTCAGTGCAGCTTGTCATGGAGACCTGGTGTCAACCAAAAACCGTGATAATAATGTTTGTTTTGTAATTATTTCTATTTCCATTATCCCTTCTAGATTAATTGATTGCAACTCTTCAGTGAAGATATCTCTATCTCTATATCTCTATCTATATATCTTCACTGAAGGTTATATATATTAGCAGCCCCCTCTGCCTTCCATCCTCACCGACTCCCTGCCTAAACCACACTCATAAAATAGGAAGACTTAAAACCTCCACATGAAAGCTCACCAACATTTCTGGGGTCTTCTGAAGTCATGCTTCTTGGGATAAGAATGAAGGAGCCCTAGATTTCCCATGACATAAGACTATAGAGATGTCAACCTGACCCCTATGGGTATCTTGTTCTGAGACAAGGGAGTGCCATGGCCAAGACAAAGGCCCTTGACATTGGCTCCCATTAGAATCATGTAGTATAGCTTCCTGGAAGTTTATTTTATTATATAAAATAATCTATAACAGTCCTTATTTTAACCTTAATCTATAACCACCCTTTCCACTCTGTCATCACTACTGCATCCTTGTATGTTCTTGAGGAGAGAGAAGGTCAAATTAGTTTCCTCCACCAACAGTTTAAATATTTACCTTGTGCTGTGCTGAAATTGTAACGTCAACTATAACATCTACCGTCACCTACTTAGCCATAGGTGAGTCTCACGTGAGCAACCCCTATACACATGGTAGCAAGAAAGCAAAGAGCATAAAGTAAAGGTTATACACTGTGAGGTAGAGCAGACAAATCCCACTGGAGCTCCATCCTTATGATTCACATGATCTAGAGCAAAAGTCCCAACACAGTTCTACTATTTTGGGCCTTGTAGGCTACATAGTTTCCTGTCATGTAATCTTCTTGTTTAATTTTACCCTTTAAAATATGAAAAGCCATTGGCTGATATGTCACATCTAAACAGGCCATAACCCAGATTTTGCCAGGGGGCTGTGTGGTTTTCTGATTCCTAGTCTATAGCAAAATTTCCCAATAAAGCTTTCTAAGATAGTAGAAATGCTCTAGACCTGCATGGTCCAGTACAATAGCCACTAACCATGTGTGGTTTCCAAGCAATCAAAATACGGCTAGTGATTGAGAATCTGAAAATTTAGTTTTATTCAATGTTAATTCATTTACCTCTCACTAGATACATGTGACCAGTGGCTATCATGTGGGGAAGCACAGGAGTAGAGCATGAGAAAAAACTTTAGGGATACTGTGCTTTATCCTATGGACCCCCCTAAGCCAAAGATCTAGAAATGAGTCCTGGTTGTGTGGCATTTGGAGCTATCCTACAACCATTTCTAGTTTCACAATCCTGATGCAACAAGACCCAGAAGGTTCTGTTTGGTTTAAAATGATCTCTGTAAAGTCTGGTGTCTCCTACGTCATGCAGTGTCAGTGTACTCAGGACCCACTGAATTCTTCAGTGGGCCACCATGGAGAATTTACAATGGGTTCTTCGCCAGTATGTCCACTTGCCTCCATCTTCCAGACTTCCAAAATTGTATGGGTCCATGGTTGTGCTCAAACGGCTCTCTAACTCCCTAGGGGTCAGATACACTCTTGTTACTTAAAGTGAACATCTGGTATAAGTAACCATACTAATTCCTCTTTTCTTCACTGACATGTTAACAGCTAACCACTAACCAGGAGTATCAGATTCTCTCTCAGCTTCTTCATATGAATCGTTTTGACTGAAGCCTCATGCGGATGTAATAAAGTTTCTGTAACTCTTATCCATCCTGCACACACAAAGAGGCCTCACAGAGGAGACATGGCTAGTTCTGTGCAGAGACAAGCTTTGGGCCCAGACAGCACTTGCCCTTGCTCATGAAACCCCTGAGACTGAACATCTGGTTTAATCCTGGAGCTGGAGGCCTGACTGTCTTTACACTGGACCCAGCCCTTCCAGCAGCAAAACTGAAAAGCATATTCCCTTAAAGTAAGTGCTGTCTGTGTCCTATAAATGGTTGTTATTGAGAGATGTTGTGAGTCACACCTATATTCATCCATTGCTTGTTTTTTTTTGTCCTGGTCATTGTACAAAGTACTTCTTCTATACTATCTTTTTAAACTTATTCTGATGAATGAAGAATGGGCACAAAGCAGTAAATGACTTGTGTGAAGCCAGCCAGGTTAAAAATGACATTCAAAGTGAGTTTGAACACAAATAATCAGGGTGTGGGGCTCCAGCTCTTAGCCCAGAGGTTCCAGTAGTGGCTGCATATTAGAATCACCTAGAGGGATTTAATACACACTGCTGCCTGGATCCTGTACCCCAGAGACTTGGTCTCACATTTTGGGGTACAGCCAGAACATGTGGATTTTTATCAATAGCTTCTCCCATGATTCTAATGGGAACCAATGTAAGGGCCCTTGTCCTGGCCATGGCACTCCTTGATCTCAGAACAAGATACCCATAGGGGTCAGACTGACATCCCTACAGTCTCATGTCATGGATAATCTAGGGCCTCCTTCATTTTTATCCCAAGAAGCATGACCTCAGAAGACCCCAGAAATGTTGGTGAGCTTTCATATGGAGGTTTTAAGTCTTCCTATTTTATGAGTGTGGTTAGACAGGGAGTCAGTGAGGATGAAGAGCGGCTGGGGCTGCTAATCCATGTCATTTGTTGCATGCTTTTCCTCTTACCCTCTCAGGGAGGAAAAAGTATGTTTTTTCTTTGGCTCTTGGCAATCTCAATTCTTATAAATCAAAACAGAAATAGATGGCATTGTCATTTCTAGTGCCGTTAGTATCTGATTCTTGCTCTTTATGGTCAGCATGTCTACCTCTGCAGAGAGATTCAAGAGGAGAGAGAGGTGAGTTGGGTCTGGAGATCCTGGTCACTTTGATTGCAGCCTAAACTTCCTTCAGGCCCAGCTACGAGCAGAATGAGGTGGAAGAATAGGATGTTTTTGTGTGTAGGACCAAGGCATCTTGGGGGATTAGATAGAGAAAAAGAATGAAGCCTTAGTTCTGCACTCTTCTGCCCTACAGACCTCTCTTCTCCTCTCCTGAGCTTGCCCTCCGCTCCTGCTCCTGCAATCTCATAGCTACCCTGAATTAGGTCCCTGCGTCTCTTCAGATCCAAGTCTCATTTAATCTTCACAAATCATGGAGGTGGAAATTACTCTCATTTTACAAGTTAAGAAGGTGTAGTTTGAGGCATGTGGCAGAACTAGGATCTGAATCCAAGTTGTCTGACCGAGGGCTTGCACACTGTATGCAATCTCTCTTCTGGTTTTCTCCTCTGTCCTGTTAGTCTCCAGGAGGACACTATCCCAGATAGGTGGACAGGGTTGTTTTCAGGCCAACAGGTGACGTGCTCTTGCATCTCTTTCTCACCTTGGCCCTGCCTGTGTACTTCACAGAGGCTGACACTGGCTCATAGGCTGCCTCTGCATTTTGCGTGGCACGTGGCTCTTTTGTCTCAATGTTTCTGCTTAAAACCACTCAACTCAGCTTGTTAAAGCCAGGAATTGGGACTTCCAGTGCCAGCCCTGAGGAGATCAGATAATTTTTTCTTTCCCCAAACCTCCTGGCCAATCCTGTTACCATCTTGTACTCATTTATGGTGATAGGGTGAGCATATCATTCAAGGAAAAAAAGAAACTGCCATTCTCCCCAGGCTTCCGGCCTGAAGCCAAAGAGCTCACAGCTCAAAAGAGACTCTGAGGCTCTGGCATTATCTGTGAAAGAGTATTTTTTGGGAGTTTGTGTCTGGTGGTAGAAAACATCACATGCCACCTCCTGGTAAGGAAGAAAGGTCTCCCTTTACCCTCATGTTAAACCTCTGTACTTTTAAATGTCAAGTGAGAAATTTAGCCCTTTTGGCCCATAGGCTTCGGAAAACCTGGATAGTTCCCCTAACAATGACTCATTTTCATTAAATTGCTGGAAAACTAAAACAAACCCAAGTTACT